AAGAAACTCTCTCAAAACTTAAGCAATCAAATCTCTAATCTCTAAACTCATAAGCTATGGCACAACTCACCATCTTCTTATATAGAGATTTAAACTTCCAAAAACTTGTTAGGAAAACTTCTATTTTCCTAACCACATAATAATAAGGAAAGATCAGTTTAACTTGGCTTCTAAGTTATCTTTAAGCTTATTGCTAACAAAATGTATTATCACACTCTTCTGGACCTTTGTAGTTTACCTTCTTATGTTTTGTTTTTTTTTTGGGTTTTTTCCACTGTTTTGTTGAAATGTAATGTCATGATTCTTGTGCATTTAGATTACGACATGTTTAGATTCAACCGTGACTATGAACTGACAGCTTACCAAGTTATGAAGTAGGTGTGTGTAATCATGAATGTCTTTTTGCAGGTTATACAGAACCATTGGATGAAGATGTTGAAATTTTGGTCCCTGATGATGACCATGGACTCTATGCAATTGACATTCTTGATCCTTCCTGGGTAAAAAGATGATACCTTTTCTTTTCTGTCTACTCTTTTTCTGGATAATGGTTTTGTTAACTCTTGAGTTGTTCGTTCATGATGTGTCTACCTGATGGTTGTATACTTGCAAACTTGAGAGTTAGTTCGTTTCCCTGTTATATCTGATTACTATACAACTTCGATTTTTCAGTTTGTAAAGCTTTTACACTTGACGGAGGTGTATCACTTTCACGATATGATTGAAATGCTGGTTGAATGTGGTTACAAGAAGGGGACTACATTGTTTGGATACGGTTACGATTTCAGACAAAGCAATAGGTCAAATTTGCAATGAATAATCCTCTGTTATTATTACCAGAAATTTTAGTTTATTCTTTAGCTGTTTTTTTTTTTTGCTTTATTTGATTCTTGCAGGATCGATCAACTTATGCTGGGTCTCAAAAAGAAGCTGGAAACTGCTTATAAAACTTCAGGGGAGAGAAAAGTCACTCTCATTTCGCATTCAATGGGAGGAGTTATGGTTTCCTGTTTCATGTTTCTTTATCCAGAGGTACTATAATCACTATCCATTATGATCTTCCATTGGATGAGTAAGTCACTGTTTTAACCATTGTCAGGATTTCTCCAAGTATGTTGGTAAATGGATTACAATTGCAACACCTTTCCAAGGTTAATACAAGTTATCTCTTTGTGTAAAGTTGTTCATACGTGAAATAGCCGTTTTTAATTGGAAATGACTTTGGATTTGGTTAAACAGGAGCTCCAGGGTGCATCAATGATTCACTCTTGACTGGAGTGCAATTTGTAGAAGGCTTAGAAAGCTTCTTTTTCGTATCAAGATGGACCATGCACCAACTGGTAATAAATCCTCAAAAACTTGGAACTCTTGTTCTCTCTCTTATTGATGAATGTGTTGGTTTTAGTTGGTAGAGTGCCCATCTATATATGAGATGATGGCAAATCCAGATTTTAAGTGGAAGAAACAACCAGAGATTCGAGTGTGGCGTAAGAAATCCGAAAAGGACGAAGATACTTCTGTGGAACTGGAAACATTTGGATTAGTTGAGAGTATTGATCTGTTCAACGATGCATTGAAGAATAACGAGGTACACACACCTAGCTTTTGTTTCTTATTAAGTTATTATCATTGGCTTGAGATGTGTTCTCATTTTACTATGTATTGTTGTAGCTAAGCTATGGTGGGAATAAAATAGCTTTACCGTTCAACTTTTCTATCCTGGAATGGGCGAGTAAGACAAGAGAGATTCTCAACAAAGCAAAACTTCCTGATGGAGTTTCCTTCTATAATATTTATGGAGTGGCACAGGATACTCCCTTCGATGTTTGGTATGCATTCGTTACCACTCGTTTGCCTCAATTGCATTAGACTATTTTTTGTTGATTGCTTCATGAGTATCATCTCAAATCATCCAGACTAAGTTTCCTTGTTGATTTCAGCTTGTTTTGCAATCTTAAAAAGCACACAACAACTGTTTTTTGTTTTGTTTCTGTTGCAGTTATGGCACAGAGACTTCTCCAGTTGGGGATTTGTCTGAGATATGTCAAACTATGGTGAGTGTAATGAGTCTTCTTGAGAACAATGCTTTGAGCCCTTTTGAAATCTGAAACCTGTGGCTCTCCACTCCAAGTTATACAACATATCTGATCTAAAAAGTATGTTATCTTGTTGCAGCCTGAGTATACATATGTAGATGGAGATGGAACTGTACCAGCTGAATCAGCAGCAGTAAGCTACTCTCTCTTGTTCATTCTGAGTTCTCTCTTTTTCCTGTAACAAATCTGTAAAAACAAAGCTTGTGTTAGTTGTTCTCTTGTCACTTCTCTTAACCTTCATCACATTTAATACTCTTCTTTTGTAGGCTGCTCAGTTTAAATCAGTTGCGAGTGTAGGAGTCTCCGGAACCCATAGAGGACTCCTCCATGATCAAAGAGTGTTTGAGCTCATCCAACAATGGCTTGGAGTTGAGCCTAAAAAGACTAAACAAAAGCAGTCAAGGACTCACAAAGTTGCTGATTCTTGTTAAATTCCAAAGACTTGAACTTCTTAAAAAAGATTATATGAATAAGTTCCTTGTAATGTGATTTTTTATTATTATTATACTGTTGTAAACTGTGACATGTAATGTGCCATGTAAATTGTTAGTACAAAACAGCAAGCTTTGTGTTTGTTAATAAAAGAACTAATAAAAAAAATTTAGACTTTTCTGTTTCTGTAAATACAATTTGAGAGAGATTCCATGTGATTCGCGAGAGAGAGAAAGAGAGATGATTGTAGCTATCGGAGACGACGATGAGCTACGAAAGAACTCAACTTTACAACGGAGGAGAAGAATCTCTTTGAGTTCAATTCTTCTTCTTATTCCTCTGTTAATCTCTCTGTACACGACAAGGGTCTCTGCTTCAATAGATGAATCTGGAAGGAGAGTGATTGAAGCGAGAAGTGGACAAGACTTGGTTTGGGTGGTTCAGCTCTCAGATCTCCATTTCAGCGTTCATCATCCCGACAGAGCTATTGATTTCAGAAACATAGTGGGACCCGCTCTCTCTCTCATCAACCCTTCTCTCGTCTTCATCACCGGTGATCTCACAGGTTAACACTCTCTTGTTCGTTTTATTTTGGTAGAAAGTTATGGACTTTTTTTTTGGTTTCATTACAAGACATACTTGGTTCTTTGTCTTTTGGTGAATCTTAATTGCATAAGCTCTTTGATTGTGAATGGTTGATTGATATGTTCCTTGGTTTGGTTTTATTATCAGATGGGAAGAGTAAAGATTTGTTAACAATGAAGCAAAATGAAGAAGAGTGGTTAAAGTATGAGAGTGTGATGGAAGAAGTTGTCAAGACAAGTGGGTTGAATAAGACTATGTTCTATGATCTTAGGGGTAACCATGATAACTTTGGTGTTCCTTCTTTTGGTTCATCTGTTGATTTCTTCTCAAAGTATAGCATCAATGGGAAGATGGGAAGGAAAGATAATGTAAACAGCCTCACTCTTGAGGTTGGTTTAGTCTATATTGTTAACATCTTCAATCATTTGGTTGAGTCCATTGATTTTTTGTATATATGTTTGCGTTGGTGAATCACTGATTTTGCATTGGAGATAAAAGGTTTTATCATTGCTCTTTTTCTACAAAAGGTTTTATCATCACTGCTCTATAATATATTTGCTGCTAATAGTTCTGTGTGTTTTTATGCAGACTAGTGAACGTAAGCATCTGTTTGTTGGTGTTGACACAACTATGGATATTGGATTACGTGGTCCAACTAATCTCTTTGGTCACCCAACCGATGAACTTTTAACCTCGCTTGACTCACAGTTATCGCAATGGGATGATGAAAAGCCAACAAAGCCTGTAACAAAGATATCATTCGGGCATTTCCCATTGTCCTTCTCAGCTTTGTCACAATCTCGAAAGAGCCTTAAAGATGTTTTCTTGAAGCATTCAATCTCTGCTTATCTGTGTGGACATCTACACTCAAGGTTTGGGAAAAACCTCAAAAGACTACATCACTCTGGTGGTGTAAGTTTATCGGATAACGACTTGTTTCAGCTGAACATGAGGCGGAGCGGTGATGAAAGTGATACAAACTGTTCATTCGGAGCCTTGCCAGCTCCAGAGTTTTGGGAATGGGAGATGGGTGACTGGAGAAAAAACAGGGCGATGCGGATTATGGCTATTGATAGAGGTCATGTTTCATACCTTGATCTTGACTTCAAGTCACAGTCTCAGAAGACTATCGTATTACCAACTTTTCCATTAGATTCACGTTTCATGTCAACGTCCCTTGCACGCCACAGATATGAATGTCAACATATGATCTCCTCATCTTACGACGCAATCAGAGCCATTGTGTTTTCTCATTCTTTAGTTGTTGAGGTTGTAGCTAGAGTTTATGACTCAAGCCCTGGATTTAACAATCTTGTCATGGAAGCTCCAATGAGGAAACATGGAGACGATTCTTCTTCAGTATCGTTTTATTCACTTCCATGGAATTATAGAGCCTTTGAAGATCCTTTACCAGATAGGTATTGGTTTCAGATAGAAGTGACTGACATCAAAGGAAGATCAACTTTATCAGAACTGCGTCCGTTCTCAATCAATGGTTTAAGCTCTAAAGTCTCATGGACGTGGAATGAGTTTCGTGTCATGGGCTGCCAATGGGCGGCACTGTATTTCCCCATTCTATGGTGTGTGCTATGTTGTTTGTTTCTCGCTTTACTCATCCCTAAATGCATCATCGTTGTTTTCAAGAAGCAGTACACTCTCAAGAAGTTCATCGCCAAGAAAGGACCAATCACACTTGCTCTCTGGATTCTCCAAGACCTCTGCAGACTCCCTGTGGTTTGGTTCGGTTACATAGCGTATTTGTTTTATCTCATATTCTTCCCTTGGTTTTCCGGTGAAGTGTTTACTAATTCCGGAAACAGAACATATATGACGATTATGGGGTGGGTTGTCACAAGCTCAAGGGGAGATAGGAACCATGAGTACGTTGGTGAACCTGATGTAATGGTTCTGGTGATTCCACATCTGGTTTTTGTTGTCATCCCAAGTTTCTTGGTTGTGTGTTGTTTGGTTGCTGAGAGAGAACTCTACAAAGAGCACATTAGAGCTGTTTCTGGTAAGAAGGAAGATGATCATGACAGGGGAAGGAAGAAGAGATGGCAACGGAGATCTCTGTTTTTCTCTAAGAGAAGACTGGTTCGGAAGTCGCTGTTGCTGGCTTCATTGGCTCTGTACTGGAAGCATTTCAAGGTATATAATATCTCACTTGTTTAAAAACTTGACGTCTTCTTGTTCATCCGTATTCATTTTGTGAAACATTATTTGGTTGTTCTTTGGACAGAATTGCTGGAGTCTAGCTAGAGCTTATGAGATGAATGTGGTTCATTTTCCAGGTTACAGTCTTGTGGTACCTTTGTTGCTACTTTATGTTATCTGCAAAACCCATAGAGCTCCATGAGAGAAGAACAAACACTCTGACAGTTTTCTCACATCATCTTATTAAAAAAGAGCAACTGAATTGTTTTGTTTAGCATCCAAAATCTTTTTTTTTTCCTGTAGGTTATGTTCCAATATCCATATAAATATTTGGAATTGTTTCTAACCTTAGCTATAATTGTTTAAATCTTAAAACAATTACTTCGGGTATATGTTTTAGAAAAAAAAGTTGTTATACAAAGATAGAATTTTATTAATTTTTTTGCACAAATTGTAGACTTTAAAAGAATTCATTTAGTTTATTGAACTGACTGTTGCTTGAAAATTATTAAAATTTGATAACTACAAAAAATTAATACTGTTATACTAGTGATTTAATGTGTTTTAATATGAAAAATAGTAAAAAAAATTATTATTAGGGGACTTAGATAGTGCTATCTTCGTTTCTTAAAAGTAATTTTTAACAATACCTTAAATTATTATCATATGAATTATTTTTTACAATTTTCAGTTTTTTCTTTCAACTAATTTTCAGTTTTTAATAACTTTGAACTAGAATAAAATTTTCAGTTTTAAAATATATTGTAGAAACATCTATTTTATCATAACAGAAAGAGTATATAAACAAGTAAACAACCATGGCGTTATAAAGAAAAAATAAAAGCTTTAGGTTGGGCCTTGTTAAAGCTCCATGATAATGGCTAGGGGTGGGCACAATTACTTGCTACTCGGCTTGTACTCGCTACCTGATTCGTACTTGGCTCTTAAAGTCGAGTACTCGTTTTGTTCAAGTCGAGTATCAAGTCGTTTATTTCAATTACTTGCAAGTACAAGACAAGTATCAAGTACTAAAATAAAAGTAACTACTTGGCGTTGTTGGCTTGTTACTCGTGATTTATAA